TGAGGGGACCAGAAAAAAAGGTCTCTGTGGCCGGCAAGACCATCGACACAGTTCTCAGGGCCCAGTGCAAAATGAAGGCCAGGAGGTCGAGGCCACGGTGAGTGCAGGGGTGTGCTCACATTCAAAGACGTTTAAGGGCCAGGCACGGTGGCCCATGCCTGCCCTTCCAGCATTTTGGGAGGCCGAGGCAGGAGGATCACTTGAACCTAGGAGTTTGAGATCAGCCTGGACAACACGGCGAGACCGCCCCCTACCTCCATATATATATATAAAATGTTTCAGAACTTTAAGACGCTTATTTTTCATTTGTCAACCAGTGGCCAACCCTTAGAGGGAAGAGGAGGAGTGGATTTCACATTCCACTTCCTAGGTCTGGTTCAGAAAACATGTTCCCCATCTGGCGCTCTCAGGAAGGAGACTAGCAAGTGCCACGCTTAATTCCAAACCCCTTTCTGAAAGCTGCCTTTTCTTGCCGCTCTTGAGTGGCCCCAGTATTTGAGGAAATTCCTGAAAGCAGGTGGCACCTGTCGTGGCTCTTTTCTAGGATGTGCTATGTGACTGTGACTTTCAAAGACATTCGTTTACCATTTGCGGACTTGGAGGGGAAGTGAATGGCACCTTTGAGATACACTCAAGGATGGAGATCACCTTGATTCGACCCTAAAGTCGCCCCTAGTGTGTATTCTGGGGAGTGGAGAGCTGAGCTGCTCAGGGTATGGGGCTGGCTTCCCGGGCCGGGGGAGAAGCCCCAGAGGCACTGGGGAGCCACAGCAGGCACTGGGGAGCCACAGCAGGCTGAGAGCAAGGAAGGGAGAGGGTCAGTTTGCACTTTACCAGGACGGATGGGAGGAGGCAAGACCAAGGCAGCCTGGGAGGAAGGGAGAAGGGGTAGAAGCGGGTGAGTGGGCACGGGCTGGGTGGGGGGAGAATCCAGGTGTTGGAATTCATAGAATGCTGTGAGTGCCCAACTGTGGGGGTGGGGTCTGCATAGGACTCAGTGAGCAGGCAGTGGGTCTGTCCCTGGGGTGGAGGCTGGGAGGGGTAGGGGGGATGCTGCCATCTGGGTGGACACAGGGCATGTAGAAATTGGTGTTCACAGGGAGTCTGAAGCTCTCTCTTCCTGACAGCCGTCCAGTTTTCTGAACCTCCAAACATGGCGCCTGTGGCTTTTGTTGAAAAGCAGAGCACGTGGCCACCCACAGGATGCCTGGAGATTCTCCCAGGCCCCCCACTCTGCCTGATGCCCCACATACATGTGCACACTCATGCCCACAGTGCATGGCACGCATGTGTACAAACATGCCCTCAAGCCCAAAGCCATCCATACACACAGGCATACAAACACAGCTCTGCATCTGTCTCTCCATACCTCTGGCTTGTTCTGACATCTGTCTCTCTCTCTCTCTCTCTCTCTCTCTCTCTCTCTGTGTGTGTGTTCCAATCTCTCTCCTTCCCTTTTTTTTTTTGAGTTGGAGTCTCACTCTGTTGCCCAGACAGGAACTACAGGCACGCACTACCACACCCGGCTAATTTTTTGATTTATTGTAGAGATGAGGTCTCACCAAGTTGCCCAGGTGGGTCTCGAAACCTGGGCTCAGGCAATCCACTTGCCTCGGCCTCCCAAGGCGCAGGATTACAGGCTGAGCCACCAAGCCCAGCTCCTTCCCTTTCTTTATTCCTGACCTGCCTTGTTTTCTCACTCTCCCTAATTATTATAATTCTTTTTTTTTGTAGTTGGAATCTCACTCCATTGTCCAGGCTGAAGTGCAGTGGCACACTCACGGCCACCCCAGCGTCCACCTGCTGGGCTTGGGCGATCCTTCCACCTCAGCCTTCCAAGTAGCTGGAACGACAGGTGTGAACTACCATGCCCAGTTAATTTTTGATTTATTGTAGAGATGAGGTCTCAGCAAGTTGCCTGGGCTGGTCTCGAACCTGTGGGATCAGGCAATCCACTTGCCTAGGCCTCCCAAAGTGCTGGGATTACAGGCTGAGCCATTGAGCCCGGCCTATTTTTTTACAGAGACAGGGTCTTGCTGTATTGTCCAGGCTGGAGTGCAGCGGTGTGATCATAGCTCACTGTAGCCTCCAACTCCCAAGTTCAAGTAATCCTCCCACCTCAACCTCCTGAGTAGCCAGGACTACAGGGCACGCACTACCCCACCCACCTAATTTTTTCTTTTTTTTTTTTGTAAAGATGAGGTCTCGCTATGCTGCCCAGGATGGTCTTGACCTCCTGGCCTCCACCAATTCTCCCGCCTCAGCCTCCCAAAGTGCTGGGATTACAGGCATAAGCCACCCACTCCCTGTCTCCCTTTCCATCTCTGCCTGTCTCTCTCTCTCTCTCTCTCTCAGAACATGCACAGTGGTTTATAAATTAAGATCATAGACTCGAGCCAGATAGCCGGGGCTCCTGCCCCTGCTGGACTTCCTTTTCCTCCTGTGTAAAATGGACATAAGACCCAGCTTGTAGGACCATGACAAGAATTAAACTAGCCAATCCTCTTGGAGCAGCGCCTGGCGCAGCAGTGCTTGGGATTTGTCTGCTGTTGCTGTAAAGTCTGTACGTGGAAAAAGACAGCAAGGCCCAGTGCCTGCAGGCCAGAACTTGAGCTAAGCATGTTATGGCCAAAATCCTATTGTTTCCTCACAGCCTTCTGAGAAGCCTGGAAATTCCTGTGCCCATTTTCTGGATGGGTAAACAGAGACCCCGAGCGAATAAGCAACTTGCCCAAGGTCACCCTACTTGGAAGTGGTGCAGCCAGGCCTGGAACAAAGGCTGCACCCCACTTCCCAGCACCCCCAGATCCCTCCCACGCACTCACTTTCATCCACGTACTTATTCTTTTAGTCATTCAACAAACACTCTCTGAGCCCTTTCTCTGGGCCCAGTCCTGGGAGGATCACTGAGGACTCATTAGAAGAAGCTGGAGACACAGCTGAGAATGAGACAAACAAAACTCCAGGCACAAAATAATCATAAACCAGTCAGGGGACTTCAAACACTGGCCTGATATCTGATGATAATGAGGAATTATCCTTCCACTTGTTAGCTATGAAAATGACATTGTTGGTTATGTTTATTTAAAAAGGATTCCTGGGGCTCCTGCCTGTCATTTCAACACTTTGGGAGGCCGAGGCGGGAGGATCGCTTGAGCTCAGGAGTTTGAGACCAGCCTGGGCAACGTAGCAAGACCCCCATCTTTACAAAAAATACAAAAATTAGCCGGGCATGGTGGTGCATGCCTGTAGTCCCAGCTACTCAGGAGGCTGAAATTGGAGGATCACCTGAGCCCAGGAGGTCAAGGCTGTGGTGAACAGGGATTGTGCCACTGCACTCCAGCCTGGATGACAGAGTGACTCAAAAAAAAAAAAAAAAGAATTCTTTATCTTTTGGAGATACAGGCTGAAGGGTCGATGGATGAAATAATAGAACGTAGAGACCTTGAAAAGAATTCAGTGGAGGGTGGGAGGAGCTGAAACAGGACTTGCAAGGATTGATGCTTGCTAGAGCTGGCGATGGGCCCACAGGGGGTCATTCTGCCTACTCTGGATTATGTATGCTTGAAATTGTCCATAATAAAAAGTTATTTTAACGCTGGGCGTGGTGGCTCATGCCTGTCATCCCAACACTTTGGGAGGCAGAGGCCAGAGGATTGCCTGAGCCCAGGGGTTCCAGATCAGCCTGAGGAATTTGGCGAGACCTTGTCTCTACAATCAATCAATCAATTAATCAATCAATAAAAAGTTGTTTTAGAAACATTCTAGGCCGGGCTTGGTGGCTCAGCCTATTATCCCAGCACTTTGGGAGGCTGAGGCAAGTGGATTGCCTGAGCCTGCGGGTTTGAGACCCGCCCCAGCAACTTGGCAAGACCTCATCTCTACAATAAATCAAAAACTAGTCGGGCATGGTAGCGCACACCTATAGTTCCAGCTACTTGGAAGGCTGAGGCGGAAGGATCG